TTGCAGCTCATACCATTTATGAAATGGCAGCAGATTATCAGATGGTTGATATGGGTGACACCGTTTTCATCTGTGCAAAATTAAATTAATCACTTCCCTGCTAATGATCACAACTAGGTTATAGAAATGTATTGCAGATATGTGTATGTTATGTTATTACACGTTTGATTGCTGGGGGTTATAAAAGAGGAAGGAGGTTTTTGTACGGCTCTGTATCACTGTGTGAGCGGGTAGCTGTCATACTGCAAACAGTGATATCTTCCTTCATCATCTTCAGTCCCTCCAGTGATGGTTATTTGTATACATTTCCAGATCTGGAACCACTGAACCTGTCCGGGATCCCAGATGGACGAGTGCTTTACCATATATAACACGTTTTGGAGGTTGTTGGGGCTTCTGTTGGAACCAGCTACCCAGGTACCTACATCAGCACTGGATTGTACATGTGATGGTAATTGTCTGTCCCGGGGGACACAGAGATAGAATCCGGAGTCTGAGTCATCACAATCTCTCCACAGGATCCTGAGGATGGGAAGAAGAGACATATTGATTATTGATCAATGTCTGGATATCTTCCTATCAATCCTGATGTGTGTATTTATTGTACAATGTATAGATGTATATGTGCAGAGGAGGATGGAAGGAGCCTCATCTCTCACCCTGAATAGAAATGAAGATGACAGCCAGCAGATAAACTGGGAGAAAGCATCTTGATGTTTCTGGAGAGGGTCAGATCCAAACTAGAAGACTTCTCCTGTACAATGAGATATATAGGAGAGTGAGTGACAGGGGAGGTGTTATCCCCCCCATATACACACACAACACACACACACACTGTGTATGGAAATTAATGCAAATCTTGTGGTTTCCAGCCACAGTTTTAACTTGCAATGATGAAAATAAATAAATGTTACTTATGAAAACTTTTTTAGTTATAATATTAGGGTTAATGCCACCGTGTTACCTGCATTTAGGATTAATTCATAAATAATATTAGATCTTAACAATTCATATTGAAAGAGAGAAATTTTAAAGTAACTGTAAAACTTATACAATACTGAAATGTGTAGATGTAACAGGATTAGTCAAGAAAATGACACAGTGAGAAATATATCCAAAATGCTTTTATCCACAATGACCAACAATTAATGGGAAATATTTTTAAAACAGTGAATGTGACATTCACCACACATTCATTGGGGTGAATGGATCTCTGACATGTGAAATTCATGTACCTGAAATATTCAAATGCAGAGAATGTTTAGCGATTGTTAATTTCTCATGAAGCAATTTTTTTAACTTCATATCCAATGGCTCCTTTTTTTAGCCTTCATAAATAGACACTTCATTGAAACTGGCAATTTTCATTGCTGTACTGCTATGCAGTAAATAGTGTGCACATTTCCGGTGATGGTGCTATTTGGTACTGTCCAGCATCAGAATGTAAACTACCCAAAAGTTAATTACAGGGATTATGGGTTAATTGATAAAAAATTTATCAATTGTCAGCACTCTATAATTTTCAGGTTGACCACCACTGATGTAGTTGATACACATGCATTTTTGTAATATATTGTTATTAAAAATGACCTTTGCATTTCACTCTGCAAGCTCCGAAATGTATGAAAATGTCAAAAAGTCAATGTTAAAGTCAAATCTTGCTTCCATTCAATATGGCAACCTGAAGTGATTATGTACATCCTTGTGCACAACTGATGGGCTCTGGACAGCTGCATTGCCTGTTATTGATTTGTATAGGTTTCCTGGCCACTAGAGGTTTATACTGATTCTTGGCTGTGTACAGCTTTGATCAGCATGTGAATGAGCCTTAAGTGATGCAGACACTGCAGCTTCTCCTAGTAGAACCCTGAGCTTATGTGGTTATACAGTATTTAATCAGTCTGGAAGGATAAAGTAAACATTTCTTGAGAGCAGAAAAAAGTTGTTAAAAGAGAAGTATGGCCAAAGCTTTTTTGGCAATACTTCCCTTCTTGGTCATAGGAATGCACTTACCTTTGCTCTCCTGTTACCCAGAATCAGCTGACAGTGGGCGATAGCCTGCTGCTATCTGACAGTGCAGAGCAACTCCAGGCTCTTTAAGAATTACGATCATAATGTAGGGATCTACCCAGCTGCCTGACTTGAAAGCTGGCTCTGGCTCTGTGTACATGGTGGAGAGCCAAAGCCAGCTGCCCCCCGTTCTCTCCAGCTCGGCTCTCCAGTGAGCACTAGAGAAACAGAGTGGATAGTAGTGATTGACAGTCAGTGTTCTCTGTTCTGAGCTGATTGAGAACAGAGCAATCAGCAGTCATGTGATTGATCTCTCAGTTCTTGGTCTTATAGCTCAAATGGGAAAGTTGCAGCATAACAGAGATGCTGCAGCATAGAGGTGAGTATGAAGGATTATTTTTTTAGAAATGTCACACTTTTCCTTTATCCTCGCTGTATGTTCAGATAATCAAAAATGTGTTTCATTGTCTCAGCAAACCCGGAACTACACTCAAAATCTGAGTTTTTATCATTACTAAAAGAGGAAGGAGGTTTTTTTGTACAGCTGTAAACCATCATGTGAGAGGAAGTTGGCTACCCTAGTAATAATAATAAATTCCTTTATCTTCATCCTTTATGTCTTTAATTTTAAAAGTTAAATCTGTTCCAGATCCAGATCTCTTGAACCTGGTTGGGTTGACTGGACATTGGTTGCAAATCTGATAATCACTGTCTTGCATAAATGCATTCATATTAACCTTACTCCCTTACCACTATAGTCATTATTATTATTATTATTATTATTAATTATTATTCTTTATTTATTGGAGAAAATGTTCATATGTTAACAAAAAATAAGCATGGAAAGGAAAGCAAAAAGCAAAAGAAAGAAATAAAGCCAACAAGAACATATAGAAACCGCAAAGTTTGCATACTTCTTTGCCATTTAGGCTTCATATAATCAATAAATCAGGTTATTCACAAAGACAAACAAAACAAATACCCGAGGGGGCATATCCACCTCTCTGTGGCATGGCAGTGTCCGTAAAAAGAAAAAAAAATAGGAAAATAGATAAAAAAAATGTTACCCCTCCACCTAACCTCCATCCTTCTCACCTGGTGTCCAAGAGCATTTGATACTCAGGAGTCTGCAAAAACTTACATCAGAGGAACCACTTCAGACAGAACTTATCACAGATGCATTTTTCAGTAGCTATCAAATCCTCCATCCTGTATATTTCATTTATTTATGTCAACCATTGTACCACGGATGGGGCTTCTGCTTTCCAACAGACTAGGATACAGCTACGCATTGCATTTATTAGTAAGCAGAGTATAGACCTCCTATAGGATCCAACTAAATCAGATTGATGATGTAACAAGAAGAGGGCTGGATCCAGTTGGAGCGGATGATCAGTAAATTTCTGTAAAATACCAGAAACCTCTGTCTAAAGAGGGTGCACCTTTTCACAGGACCAAAAGATGTGTAAGAGATCTCCCGTGGCCTTCCTGTATCTCCAACATAGGTGTGGTTTCAATGGAAACATTTTATTCAAGCAGACTGGGGTGGATTACCATATAGCCTGGATTTTGAAACCCAGTTCTTGATACCCAGAGCATAATGAGATTTTGTAGGATGAATGAAAAAGACTAGCAACTTGGTCCAGAGTAAAGGAGATCTAAAGGTCAACATTTTTTCATTTACGGCTAGAACAGCGGCGAGATAAGCATGTCATAAGTTAAAAAAATTGCATGTGTAAGGAGTTCTGCAGAATCCTACAACTGGTCAAATGGTGGAAGGGTCCGCACAAACACTGAAGCTGGAGGGAAGGAAGAAAGGAAGTGCAGTACTTGAACTTTAGTCCAAGGTTTGAAGAGTGGCTAGCGCAGGTTCATCTGCCAATAGTTCAGTGTTAAGCCATCGTTTGCCCACCATGAAGTGGTGAATTCAGAAACCTTCTGCCTCACCAAGTTTCATAGGCTGTGATCCTCCAGAACTTGTATTAAAGAGAAGTATGGGAAGTTAAAATTTTTTGAAAATCATACTTACCTAGGTGGATGCAGCATTGGTCCGATGTTGCATCTGTCCCCCGCCGACTCTAAGGGTGATCACATGATCATATCACTCTGTTCTCACCGCTGCTGTGAGCAGAGAGCAGTGACTGTCAACCAAAAGAGCTATGGCTCTACTTCAATTTTAAAGATGTAAACTTTAGTAATATACCAGGCACCCAACTGGGAACATTTATGAAATATGACAGCAACATATAGCAGAGAAGGTCTTTGAGGTGCTGAACTTGTCTGACCAGAAGGGCGAAATGCTGTCTGACTGTTCCGGACCCAAGGGGTGAGGCTTCCAGGAAGGACGGCATGTCCATATTCTTTCTCTGCTCGTCTGGAACCTCTACCTACTGCTATTCACTTTACCTGTTCAGTGGGTGACCTATCCCTACACTATCTACTTACAAAATGTGCGCCAAACCCAGGTGCCATGGTCTTAACTAGACTCTGCCTGACCCAAGATGGCTGCTAGAGACACATGGGCAGCCAGCATTCAACTGGATTGCTGCCCCAATGACCCAGAAACCATAGAGGAACCATGTTTCACTTGACTTTCTCTCCCCCTGCAATGTCACTGCTGTGGGAGAATCACCTGCAGTGGAAAGAGTAGACTGCATCTGCCTATACTGCAACTTTTCTTATTAAAACACTGAGCTCAGGTGACTTTACTATTCTGGAATCAGTCTGGAAAGAACATAGAGAAGCAAACAGTAATTTCTTTAGACAAGAAAAAGGTGAGAATCTGCAGGAAAGTTTTTTAAATATCCTTGCAATGTGTGTAGATAATCTAGAGGGGATGGTGTTTTTCTCAACAAAAGTGAAATTGGCCGTTAAATTTGAGATTTTATTATTGCTAAAAGAGGAAGGAAGTTTTTGTACGGCTCAGCATCACTGTGTGAGAGGTAAGCTGCTACACTGCTGACAGCAATAATCTGCTGCATCTTCATCCTTTATGCCTTTGATTGTAAGAGTGAAATCTGTTCCTGATCCAGATCCACTGAACCTGTCTGGGGCTCCAGAATGCAGAGTGGTTGCATATCTGATAATCAATGTTGGACTTTGTCCTGGTTTCTGTTGGTACCAGTGTAAACAGGTTGCAATACCAGTACTGGATTTACATTTGATGGTGACTGTCTGTCCCGGAGTTGCAGCGATCTCATTGGAGTCTGTGTCAGTATAGTCTGTGCCCAGGATCCTGAAGATAAAAAGAAATCAATCAAGATGTAGCTGCTATGTCCAGATCATCTATTTTATACAAAATTAAAACCTGAGGATATAAAAACACGATAACTTATTGTATTCTCTTCCCTACAATATTTGTTCAGCAATGTTATTCATATTACTTATTCTGATACAAATCATCCTGAGAATCTCTCACCCTGAATATAAAGCAGTATGAGAGGCAGCAGAACCCCTGAGAAGCCATCCTGATGTCTCTGCACTGACACACACAGACTACTGAGATGTCACCTGTACAATGTCTCCTATATAACAGCTGACATCATTAGGGGGAAGCCCCCCAGAAAACAGGAAACATGTAAATGTATCAAATCTCTATATGTCACGTTTTACTTCTCTACATAGGAATAACAGCAAGAAAGGGCTAAGTGGTTGGATCTCCAAGTGTTCCAATCTGCTCAGGGAACCTTCTCAGCGTGTAGGTAGTGGGATTCCTCTTTTTATATTAGTTTCCTCTCCAGTAACAAATCTATACTGCCATATAGTCCTGTAATGTTGGGTATTGAGGTTATATTGTAACCTTCTTCCATGGACAAGCACTGTACTTTGAACATTGCTAATAAAGAGATTTTCTCAACCAGGGTTCCACAGAAGCCCAGCTTTCATCCAAAAATTGCTAGGGGTTCCTTGAGCTGTGAACAATGGCATATTATCTCCCACCTAGAATGACTACCAATGTTAGGGGTCAATTTCCTATTGACATTCATGTAAAGGGGTAACTTGCAGTATATACTGATCATAAGTGCAACACCAATGTACATTTCACTACTGTCCAACAAAGTAATTCTCTACTGGCTGCTAATAAAGAGGACACTTTTTCAATGATGATTATTGTAAGATGACACTAAAATTTTCACATTCTGTGTTTCTTTTCTGATTGTTATTTATTCACTTTTTATTTGTATGATTATTATTGATGTATAGAGCAAGACAGTGTTGTTAAATAGTCGTCTCTGGCTGCAAGTATTCTAGTTCTGCCATGTTCTTTATTCTTTCTTTAAAAAACTTTTGACAGCTTAATTGTCATGGTGATTTGCCAAAAATGTAGATATAATAATTTTCAGCAGGAGTTCCCTGAGATCTTAAATCTATTCCAAAGGATCCTCCAGAGTAGAAAGGTTTACAATGACTGAACTAGTATGCCAATGCTATAGAAACAAATAATTGTTACAGTCTGATTTTCACACATTTTGAACGTTGTTGTGTCTTATAGTATTTCAGATTACTCCCATATAAAATAGATCTATATTTGATAAAACACTGATATATTAAAAAATGTTTTTTCTTTTTTTTATCAACAGCCAACTGTAACTTCATTTTTTTTGTTCTACCATTCTTCCTATGATGGTTCTAAACCACTTGATATCCAGAAGATTTACCCACCTTCTTGACCAGGCCATTTTTTGCAATATGGTGCTGCATTACTTTAACCACTTCCATACCGGGCACTTTTACCACCTTCCTGCCCAGGCCAATTTTCAGCTTTCTGCGCTCTCACACTTTGAATGACAATTGTGCGGACATACTGTACCCAAACTACATTTTTAGCATTTTGTTCACACAACTAAAGCTTTCTTTTGGTGGTATATAATCACCACTGGGGTTTTTTTTTATTTTTTGATAAATTAATGAAAAAAGTCTGACACGCCTTTACGTCATCACGCCGCCGGAGCAACGTGGATCTTACTTACTTACTTACTTACTTTATCAGATGGTTAGTCCTCATCGATTTCTGTCTGAACTTTTATGTTACCTTTGATGCATCACAATAAAGTATCTTAAACACCTACTACACTATGGGAGTATCTCTGTTGTCACCCCCTGGGGGAGTGCTCTAGCCCACAGATCCACCACCAGGACGGATCATTGCTGCACAGTGGAGGTCTGAGCACCTAGAGGGATACTACCAGCCTGGATAATAGGAGGACCCCTAGAGGACGAGTACCACCTACGCCAGCTTCACACTACTTAGTCTGATGATCCACCATCCTTTAGAGGGAGGACCGCTCATCTTCTGACCTTCTATATATCTGATGACATCTGGAATATTTACATTAGACGCATTTAACATGCGCGTCCGGTGAGTACGCATTACTTTCACCACTATTGCACGGATACCGGGTCCTGGAGTCACCAGAGCACAAGAGTCACTTTACCTGCGATTGGAACTTTTTATATATGTTTTTATTATTTATTTAGTGTACCGGAGAAGGGATATTCATTTATTATTTTACATATTCATTTTTTTATTAATATTTTAGCGCTGCACTCTCTTGTTTATATTGATGTTCTAGGGTGATATTGGTTACCTTTTTGTGCATAGCAGCTTTTTTATATTAAGGCGCTTACATTTCTGTTTTACACATTTGTGGACTTTAGTTCTGCTTAAATTCGTTAGGACCATTTTAAGCTATTGAGAATATTTAGTAGATGATAATTACTTTGTTTTGATTCTACATACAGAACTGGGAACAATTATCTACTAGCTTTAAGTCTCATATTCATTTCTTATTCTCTGAGACCCTCTAGTGGTTTAAAAAGATCATCAATTTTAGGTAACGGCATACACTACATGGAGGAAAAAAATCATATTTTTATCAAATGGAAAACCCATTCCAATTTTACTGCATAATTGGTCAGACAATATCAATGAAAATTATATTTAACTATATGGTGATATATGTCATAATCTTACATAAAGTAAAATCTTTGCTATAGGTTGCTGGACCTTCAACATAATCCAATGTATGATAATAAAAGAAAGAGGATGCACCGACCTAGTGCATTACCAAAAACACCATTTATTTAAAAGGTATATAAAATGTAGGTCATCTACTCTCAAATACATGTAAAAAACTGGCATGTAATGGGATACAGACGAGACCGCCTCAAGGTCCACGGTACCAAGCCAGTGGTGGGAATTATAGGAAGTCTGCATAGTGTCCAACAACTTCCGCATCCTCAGAGCCAAAGACTCTTTTCTTTTTACTTTGGCTCTGAAAAAGAGGGTCCGTCCCTCAAAACGGATAAGCCTTTGGACACCATGCAGACTTCCCATACCACTGGCTTGGTACCATGGATTTTAATGCGGTAGGTTGGTGCACCATTATCATGTCCAGTTCAGCGAGAACACCCACAGCCCTGAGAGGGCAGCAAGACCTTCATCTTACCAACTGGCCAGGAAGGTGACTACACTTTAAAGCATTGCACCTGAGCTTAGGAGTTTGTACTGTTGTTGTTAGCCAATATATGCCAGGATTTCAAAGTTCAGTTAGAAGATTCTGCAAGTCCTTTCTCAATGGCATATCTCAAATATGTTCTGGTGTGTACATTTCAATTGATGAGGACACCTGCCTTGTGTTGGTTTATCAGAACTCTCAAACTGTTAGCAGTCTGTCAGGGACCATGATAACTGGGTGATAACTGGATGTTGTACAATTCTTGGACCAGAAAGACATACAATTGGAAAATTACAAAAAACAAACTTTTTTAACATAAAATTGTCACTTAAATGATATATTGCTCACACCTCCAAATGACCCCTTTTTGGAAAGCAGACACCCTAAGGAATTTGATAAGAAGCATGGTGAGTATTTTTCAGATCTCATTTGTTGCCACATGTTTTTTGAAAATGAAAGAAAGAAAACAAAAACATATTTTTTCTTTTCTTTTTTTATAATTCAAAACCTTGTGAGAAAAAATGAGATCTGCAAAATACTCACCATGCCTCTTTTTAAATTCCCTTTGGTGTCTACTTTCCAAAAAGAGGTAATTTGGTGGGGGATTTGGTGCTATCCTGGCATTTCAGGGCCTCCAAAACTGTGATAGGTATTGAAGAAGTGAAGTGAGGAAGTTACGCACCTTCAGGCTTTCAAAGTGGTAATTGGATTTCAGGCTCCTGTATGTGGCTAGGCTCCCAAAAAGTCTCACACATGTGGTATGTAAGTATGTAAGTTGCAAAATGTATTTTGTGGTGTAATTCCACATATCCCCATGGCATGTGTGAGCAATATATCATTTAAGTGACAACTTTGTGTAAAAAAACTTTTCCAAAAACTTGTGGAAACAAAATAAATATTCCATGGACTCAACATGCCTCTCAGCAGATAGCTTAGGGTGTTTGTTCTATCCTGGTATTTTAGCTCCTCAAGAAATGTGATAGGCAGTCAGAAAGTAAAAGCAGTGTAAATTCCATAGTTTGTAGATTCTATAACTTACACACAAACCAATTAATATGCAGTTATTGGGATTTTTTTACCAAATACATGTAGCAAAATACATTTTGGCCTAAATTTATGACGAAATTCAAGTTTTTGGGATATTTACTATGACAGAAATGAGAAAATATTGTTTTTTTTTTCAAAATGTTCTGTCTTTTTTGTTTTTTAGTGCAAAAAAAAACCCCAGAGATGATCAAATACCACTAAAAGAAAGCTCTATTTGTGTGAAAAAAAAGGACATAAATTTAATTTATGTACAGTATTACATGACCGCACAATTAAAGTAGCACAGCGCTGTATAGCAATAAATGGCGTAAATTGCAGTATCTATTCCATAGTTTGTAGATGCTATAACTTTCACACAAAGCAATCAATATACAATTATTGAGATTTTTTTTACCAAAGACATGGAGCAGAATACATTTTGGCCTAAATTTATGACTAATTTTGAGGTTACTATATTTTTTTATAGCCAAAAGTAACGGATATCGTTTTTTTTTTTTCAAAAATGTCGGTATGTTTTTGTTTAGAGCACAAAAAATAAAAACCGCAAAAGTGATCAAATACCACCAAAAGAA